AAAAACAATTGCCTATTTTAATGTTTTTGAATAATAGCTTTGCCGCATTGGCTTCATTTTTTTACGACCACATGGATATGTCCCCCCTGTCCCTCAGTCTGCATTTCTTGTAGGCTCGATAGAGACTACAGTTTTTTTCTGATATTGATGAAACTTGGTATGCATGTATATATTGATGAGATCTGGGTAAAGTTTGAAATCGGTAATAATCGGATGGACGGTTTCAGAGTTATTGCCCTTGACTTAGTAAAAAGTGTCAAATTTCAATTGTAGGCACAAAAGAATCTACAGTTTTTATCCAACCTAGATGAAACTTGGTATTCATGTATATATTGATAGAGATCTCGGTCAAATTTAAAATTTGTAATAATCGGATGAACGGTTTCAGAGTTACAGCCCTTGACTTAGTGAAAATGCATCAAATTTGACTTATAGGCACGATAGAGACTACAGTTTTTGTCTGCTCTTGATGAAACTTGGTATGCATATATATATATATATGGATGAGATCTCGGTCAAGTTCAAATTGATAATAATCTAATGGTTGGTTTCAGAGTTATTGCCATTGACTTAGTAAAAACGCTTCAAATTTCGATTGTAGGCACGAAAGAGGCTACAGTTTTTATCCAACCTAGATGAAACTAGGTATGCATGTATATATTGATGAGACCTCAGTGAAGTTCGTATTTGGTAACAATCAGATGAAGGAGTTATTGCCCTTGACTTAGTAAAAATGCATCAAATTCGGCTTGCAGGCATGATAAAGATTACATTTTTTTTTATTCAATCTTGATATGCATACATGTATAATTGATGACATCTCGGTCAAGTTAGAAATTGGTAATAATCAGATGAATAGTTTCAAAGTTATTGCCCTTGTGTGTACATCACTGATGAGACTTTGTTCATGTTTGAATTTGATGAACTGTTTTAGGTTTTTGCCTTGACTTATTGATGATTTTAAGATTATTTGAAAGTTCATTATTAAGCCATTCAAGATTTGGTTATTATTTTTGACAGCTGGTAGTGGGCATATGTTACAATGCCTGGCAAGCTATCTTTAAAGCTCATTGTCATCTACTATGCTTTTTAGTGACCCATTTTTGTTCAAATTCTTAAACATTTGTATTTACAAACAAAATATCCACAACTCTCCATGTATTCAGATATCTGGAATACAAAAAAAGTCATCAGCACAAAATTCTGAAAGAAATTGTAAAGAGATTTTCTTTACTTTGAACATTGAACTAGTACACTTCCTTTAAGCTTCTTAAAATTTCTATGCAGTTTTTGTGATAGTGACACATTTTATAATTACAGGAGCCACAAACATTTCACAGAAAATTGGATTAATGAAAATAAAAGCCACAAATGGCCCTGTCACAATCTGCAATCTCTTGAAGTTCTAAGAATAGTAAGATGTAAAATTCCAGTTCAGTTCAGTTGGAATAGTATTGTTATTGTGACCAAGTTCTGCTAGAAAAGTATGTACTATCATCTTCACTAATCACATTAATCTCTCTAGTGTTAGTTGTTGATGGAACCAGACAGACAATTGGAAATATAATTATATCTTATCTTCATTTACTATAATTAGTTAATGACACTAGAGGCATCATCTTCATCCCTTGAAATTATATTATTATATCTTACCAGTTTGTTTTAACCTGCTAGCTATATCATCTTCATCAGACATCTTTTACTTGTACAGCACAAGGGCAGTATGATTAAATGTCCTTTTATCTTCTTAACTCCATAATAAGGGTGCAGATACACAAACAATCTTGGTTGCCTCTGACTCAAATCTTGATTAAAATCATTACAAGATTATATTGTATTTACAATATCACACCGATAATATTGCTGATTATTTTATCATCTACAAGACAGAGCGTCATCATCCAATCAGATTCATTTTCCTTTCAATTGCATGCTCTGCACGTGATTGGCAACATAATGGACAATTATCGACTGGAGATTTTTGTTTCCTCGTGTGCTCGTAGCTGGTTGGTGAAACTCTTGACAAGACTCTAGTCAGCGAAAAAAATCAGCGACCAAGACTCTTTGTGTGTCCGCACCTTAAGCAACTGGAAGTTTTTACAGACAATTTGACTCCTGTATTTCTACTGTTTGGTTTTGTAATTTTACCTTACTCATAATATGATCACCTACAAACAATAACAACGCTGATGACATAACAGATCCTTTATAACTGTGCTCACCAGTTTGTTAATAATATATTTTATCGACTTTTTACTTCTTGAATTTAAAGAGATTTGGTAACCACTAGGCATATATATTTAATTTTTTATGTCCCAAAAAAAATGTCCCAAAAAAAATGTCCCAAAGTTTGAGGGTTAATATATTAGCTGTTGGTAAACTGATCTCTTTCAAAATTCTCAGAAATATAATCCAAGATGATGTTGCCCAACCCTGAGAGTATGACAGTCATCCAATAAAAATGGTACAAGTACTGCCCTGAACAAATAGCATGCCAAAAAATACAATATCAAGGCTATTAGCTATTTCAACCGGTGTCAATGTGCCCTCAGTCTTCTTTGACCACTGATCGCAACTGTTTTTTCCATCTCGAGATGCTGTTATGGATCTCATTTAAAGGTATCTGCTGACCCAAGTACAATTTTTCCTTCAGAATCCCAAATGGCATAATCCATTGGATTACATTATGGGGACTTTGTAGACGTTTTATTTTTGAGACACCTGATATGTACAAGTATATGTATCTAGAAACAATTTCAGTCTTAACAAGTTTAATATGATATTTTTATTGCATACCATTCATCCTTATACCAATGACGAAATTGTTCCTGAGATTCTTTAAGGTATTTGCTTTAAGCAATTTAGTACAATTCTAAAAATTCTCAACAGATAAAATGATGCAATGTTTTGCATCCACTTGGCATCTATTTTGTCCACTTGGCATCTATTTTGGAGAGACCACACACTTAATATTGTCTAATTGGTATAATATTTTATAAGAATATAGCTTTGAAGTAACTTACTAGTTTTTATAACCTCAAATAAACTGATGAGGTCATTTTGAATTGTGTGGTTGATACAGACACATTATTAACTCAAAAATAAGGTATAATTGAGTCTTGAAAAAACAAACAAATGTTTTGTCTTATTTGACATTTTTTTTAAATATTTATAATGATTGTTTTGTTCAATTGAATATGTTTTGTTTTATTTCGTGTCAGAACCTTGTATGAATTGTTTTTTCTTTCTACAAAGAAACTTGTTAGACAACTTTTGACAATTGAATTGAAGCGTTACAAAAATACTGATTTCAATTGTGATCAAAGCCTATTGAAAAATCTGATAAAAATCATTTCCCATCCTATTATGATGTCATTGTTAATAAAAATGAATGAAAATAATTATTTTAAAGTGACATATTTTGAGAAAATATTCCTGCTTTAAATCTTAGTTTTATTGTAGGTAGGGACTTATTCATGCTTTATATTTTTACATATATTTCCATTGATCTGGTCTCTCCATCCATTTGTAGGCAGGATAGACAGATAAATCTATATTAACAGATTTCTAAAACACACAGAATGAAAAATGATAACCTGAAATGCATAAGTTTAGTCAGAATAACAATAAACTTGCATTTCCCCTATTAACTCTGTAAAATCCAGTTTAATTTGATACCACTTTGATAGCATTATTTTGTTTTTGAATAGACCAAGAGTTCTAGAAGAAGCAGGAAATTAAGCATAATCAGATTGTTTAACAATAAAAATAGTCAGTATTATGTCATGGATAATTTCTGTTGTAAAATGACACCTTTTAAAACTCATTAATAATTTGACAAAATCCTGTTCATAATGGGTAATAAGAAACTCATTAACTGTTAAGTATGTATATTGCATGACATCACGTACACTTGCTAGATAATAGTCTTTATTAAACAAAGAAAGGTCAGAGAGAATGGCCAAGGAACTGGCACATAAAATCATCTTGTCAAGGACTATTCCCCACCATTGCTTCATTACCCTAAGGCCATGATAAGGAAAACAAGTGACAGGTCCGTACCATATATTGGTTAGCTGGCAATCATAGCCAACACAATTTTAGAAAATACTGATGTAATTTGTACAAATTGATTTGACTTTGAGGGAAGTGCTCCTTTTTTGTATAAACAATATTTATTTACATAATAGGATAGGGGAACAGGCTTTTGCTTATAGTACCCTCTCCATGAAGTGCTTAGTGCATATTCAACTCACATCCATCATTATTTTTACTGCATCATTTGGTACTTAAAGATGCCTTAGCTCATTTTTCTTGGTCAAATCATGCTTACTAATTGATTAATCAGTGTTTCTAATGAATTATGAAAATATTCATATGTTAAAATACCATATGTGGACGTAGAAAGGCTTGAGGAAGTCATTTACTCAAATCTGCTTTGAGAAGCTAAATTTAAACTCCATGTTTGTTCATGTGACCAAATGACGTCATTCTTACCGACTGTTGAGAAAGCGAGTGGCTGCTTCACCATGAGATTTTAACTGATTCTCCTCCATGAAATTACACCAACGTTCATAGACATCCTTATCTAAACCTATTCTTGGATTTTCTTGATCCCATTTCTTCTTTGTTCCCATTTTTTTCTGAATCTGAAGCCTTTTTTAAATTGTAAACTGTGCATTCTTCGAGCCGCCATATTGTTGTTGTGAGAAAAGAAAGGAATGCGGGGAGTGCACATGCGCGCATATCAGGATGTCCCTGACTGTATACACTGGTTATTCGAAAAAAGACTAGACAGTTTTTTATCATGGTCACCCTATGGAAATCCTCGTCATAATTAGCTAATTACGGGCTAATTAGGAATTTTTGAGACAAACTAGTCCAATAATCGAATATATATAAATATATAATTTAATGTCACAGTTCAATGATGTGTGGAAGTCACTTTAAATGATTTTTAATTGTATTCAGTACAATTTTTTACATTTATCACATCAAATATGGATGACAAAGAGGACATACTTTTAATTTCTCAACAAAATGTGAAAACTAGACTAGTAGTGAATGACAGGCCTTCAGGTAAGAAATCTATTGAATAAATACACATAGAAATTGAAGTTTGTATCTCTGAAAAAATAAAATAAAGGGATTAGTGAGAATGTTTTAAAGAGAATTCCATTAAAGACATTTTTGGCAAGAAATGATGAATCCCTATTTTAACTTTCAAATACGGATAAATCTGGACACACATGGATTTGAAGGCTCAAATTTGGATGGTGAGCTGTGAAAACTGTTGCTGATAAGATTAGCTTAAAATGTTTCTGAGGCAAATCTGGCTATCTCTAATCTGTCTAACTTTTACACTTTGTCACAGACCATTTACATACTGCAATTAAAGGAAATCAATTTCTACAAGTCATTGTATGAATTTATAAAGTATAAAGTTTGTCCTGATAGTCTCTTGTAATCAGCTACATATCAAAATCAATAGACTATACCTTTTGTTTTATATAACATATCAGTAACGAGAATTGTTCAGCTAAGCTAGTCATTAACAGTGTCGAAATTTTAGCATTGTTGGTCATATGTAACGATAATAATCTGTGTTTGAAATTTCATTTCATTTCTGCATTGTCAGGACTGGATAATCAAAAATTTATCAGCACACCGTGTTGTAGACCTTACCAACAAATTTTTGGGGGTAACCCACTATTCATGAAGAAGACAAGCTAGTGAAAAATTGAAAGTGAAATTTTTATTTTTTCGTATTTTTGAAGGAATTTACTATTTACATATTTTCAAGGTCTAAATTAACCTTCAAAAATGGTGAACAAATGCGTTTTAAGTTAAAACATTCAAAAGATACAATACAACAATTTACTTAATGCCAAAGGTCCAGAATATATCTAAATACAGTGTCTGAAGAGGTATATATCTGATAATCATGATACAAGTTGAAAGTGTGAAAATGCAAACATATTTGATATCTGAATCAATAAAAAATTGATTGCCATCATTTGGATGATAACAGGGGTGACAACAGTCTTAACATTTGTGATAAATGGACATCTGAAAACCAGGCTCTGTCAACTTCTTAAACAAAATATTAAGATACTTTTATTCCTGTCATATTGTATGACTGCTAAAGAACATTCTCGTAATGAGGTAACATTAACTCTTAAAGAGCAGAAATGTTTATCAGTATCTCACCTTACAAAAATAAAGTAAGGAATTATGATTAATTTTACATCAAGATCTTGTTTCCCTTTATACCATATATTAAGGCACCAGACACTTATTGTGTCTCCAGTTTACTGCGGAAGGTAAAAGCTAAAATGTAGTAATCTACCACAATCAATTATTGACAATGCCTAAAGCATTGAAATGACTACATGTATTTTGATTGTGATGATGAAATGAAGATTTTCACGCTGTGTCATCTCTAACAGATCTTTTTTAGCTGCTGTCCCCACAAGTAGTACTTGGCTACAAGTTCAAAGAGCATTTGTTTAAATGTGGCATCTGTGATGGAAAGCTTTTACATTAGAACAGGTTAGATTTGTGAAGGCTTTTGCTCAGTGTACAACAAACATATTTAAAGTTTTGTATTAATACTTTAATGGCTAGATGTACAAAGAAAAAGTCTGTTTTGTCTACAATAAAGAAAGAGCACAAGCCAAAAAAACAAATCTGATTATTACCAAGCATTTATTATTGTAGAGTGCAAATAATTGATTATTGTTAATACTTACATGTTATCTTGAACATTATTTTATCTTATTGTTCACATGTCAGATTTTGGATTTTCAATATATATAGAGTCATAGAAAGCTGGAGCAAATGTTTCAATGACCTGAAGTCTTTCTTGATGTCACATTTAACTGATTTTGTCTTGTACACTGGCTTCCAGTCATTATATTTTATGTATTGTCCTTTTGTTTTGTTTTTATTATTCAGTTGTTGTAACTTACAGATGAATTCAGTGTAAATCAAGTCTGAAAGACTAGTGGATAGAGCCTATGGCGTTCACTGAGCTCAACTCCACTCAACAAGCTCATAAGCTCAAAATCTTTACAGACCATTATTTCAGGGCTGAAGGATTTAAATTGAGGAATGTTTTGAAAAAATTAGATACCGGTAATAGATTTTAATTGTTAGTATGACAGACTAGATGTCTTTTTCCTTGCATTGTGTTTTTGGTCTGTTTAGGGTATTTCTTAAAACAGACAGTAATTTAAAAAATGTATCAAGGTCTGTTTTCCTAAAGACTGACCAAATTAAACAATGATAAGCCTGAATCTAAGATCAGCTCATCAGAGATTTGAGGATGACTTCATTTGATGTTCCTAAAGCTGATCAGATCATCTTTGATTAACAAATTTCCTAATTCTCTGATATAAAAATAAACTCAATGGTGCCATTCCCAATTTCGGCTAATCATAGTTTACTGTAATTAGTGATTTGAATTTAAACAGCATTGGGGAATAGGGTGGGTTTTAAAATCCAACCGCCTACCGCTGCCAACCGGCATACAGGAGTGTAGTCTTGGTGAAGATTTTTATCCACAACATATATCGATGATTCTGTTGGATTAACAGGAGGAGCATTCACAGAATTATTATTGTCTACGTCAAGGATTAATTTTGAAAAAATTCTTATAGATGGAAGAAAGATTCCTTGGCCTTTATGCTCCATGTTCCCGACGACAGTAAAAAGTTAAGGGAAGTAACTCTGAAACAAACAACCTTGTTCAGTCGTTGTGATCATTAAAACAAAATCTAGAGGTTTTTGTACGTTTTATTGTGTGCCCCATTTTATTTTTAAAAGAGATTATGGCTATTTTAAACACGAATTGAATCAGAAAATGTGAAGGAAAATATCTCAAAGCAAGAAAAGAAATATTAATTTGTTTCGTTTCATTTATATATGCCCACATGAATATGTGGTCGTATATTGTCGTTGCCCCTGTCCGTCGGTCCGTCGATCCGTCGGTCCGTCCGTCAACATTTCTTTTGAGCACTATAGAGACTACAGTTTTCATCTGATTTTGATAAAACTTGGTGTGATGCTTTAGATTGATAAGATCTGGGTCAAGTTCGAATTTGACATATTTTCGATGAACGGTTTTTGAGATATTGCCCTTGACTTAGAACGCCTTGAAATTTGTTAAAAATAGTTCGTGAGCAGGATTGAAGCTACAGTTTTCATCTGATTCTGATGAAACTTGGTGTGATTATTGGAATTGATAAGATCTTAGACAAGTTCTAACATTTTCGATAAACAGTTTTTGAGTTATTGCCCTTGACTTTGTTAAAACGCGTTGAAATTTGTTAAAAATAGTTCGTGAGCAGGATTGAAGCTACAGTTTTCAACTGATTCTGATGAAACTTGGTGTGATCATTTGAATTGATAAGATCGCGGACAAGTTCTAACTTGATGCATTTTTGATGAACGTAATTTTGGAGACCGTAAATTATATGAATTGTTAGTTGAACTCATCAGCTATAAATGTTTACATTATCAGATTTGTGATTTTATAAAAAAACTAATGATTAAAAATAGACACCAATTATCGTTTATCATAATATTATTCTATATATTGGCGTTCATTATTTTGTTTATTTTTTCTATAAAAACCTTATTACCTTAGTGTTTCTTATCTTTCTCTTTCATTAACTGGACAAATTATTGTCTATAAGAACCATTAGCAGGTTATTCTGCCTAATTTATCTCCTTATTCATAGGTAGGAGAAAACAATGAAAGAAATTACAAGTATCCTACATTGACAACATTCTGCATAAATTGCTTGTGGTTTGAGTTATATTTGATAAACTTATACGTGATATATATCAAAAGAGTTTTAAATTATATTATTAGAAAGTAATAATAAATGGTATATTCTTATAAAAAAAGTTTGACTATAATATAAATAGAAGAAAGGAAGATGAAGTTGCTCTTTGTCTGGTGTGTACAGCCCACCCAGTTCTGGAATTGAGCTCTCCAAGGTCAAGTTGTACAATTGTAAATTCTTCACCTTTACTTATAGCTTTCTTAATGCATAGGCACCTGTACTTACCTTTGCAAAATATATATGCCTCAAAATGGCTCCAAAAATAGCATTGGATGAATGTGATGTAAGCTAACTTGATGGCGGTGCATGTACATAATTCATGATACATTTTCCAAAGAGTATGTAATGATATTCATAGGTAAGTAATGTTTGATGATTTTCCAAGAGCATGTCATTATGTAAGTAATGTTTGATGAACCTGGTATATTTAAGTGTGTAATCATCATGTAAGAAAGTGGAGGTTGATGAACCTAAGTGTTGGTTTATTTCAAGTGTGTAATTAATATGTGAGAAAATGAATCTATACATTATGTATGTCAAAAGAGTGTGTAATATTATATAAGAAAGAATTGAATTCAAACATGTTTGGTTCTAAAGAAGTGTGTTACAATAATATAAGAAAATATGTTTGGTGAACCTAGGCATGGTTTATTTTATAAGATAAGTTTGATTGTAAACTGAAGTTTTATTTATATAATCAATGAGTTGAAAGAGGGCCTTAAAACATGCTAGATCTTTTAATGACAGAATCATTTCCATATGTTATCTCTTTAAGTGTGATCAAAACTAAGTAGCTAACACTTTCGCTTTTATCCATAACAACCTCGGGGGAATAGCTCTCATTTCATTAAATCTTTGATGTTTGAAATCAGGATAAACTAGCAATTGATTCAACCTTTGATTTGAAAACACTTGATATTTTCAATTTTCCACACATTTCCCAAACAGATATAAATACTGTTAGGAATGTTAAGAGGAGAATTTCATGTGTCTTAAAATTTTCAGGTTGAATGGTATTTTATGGAGGAAAGGAAATTTCAAACCCATGTATATAGCAAGTTTTAATCAGTTTAAGGAAACTTAGAATTAGATCTCAAACCATCTATATAGAAATATAGATTCTAAGAACTATCTAAACTCTAAATAAATCAGTGAAATAGATTCTTTTATTCATGTATGAATCAACATTAAAACTTATTGTATATGAAAAATAATTCCCTCAACAAAATGTCATGGTCCAGATAGAATGGTTTCAGACAAATTATGTTTGAAATTGATAACAAATTAATTTCTCATTCATTTAAGTTATACAATAAATTCAATTTTAAAATACAAAGTTCTTAACAGATTTTTCTGAAACTTGATGCAATTGTTAATCATTTACAAAGGACAAGGGCTGGCTGAACAATTTTAATCTTAAGTGGTATGTCTAGGTCAGATTGAAAAATACTTTTTCAACCAACAATTACACTTATTTAATGAATCATAGACAAAATAACTGCTACTGTAGTGTTATTAGTGTCCTCTATCTTATAAACTTGCCCCATCTGAAAGATAGGTGTCAAAGCTCATGACAAGAAATCAGAAACAGGACCTGGTGTCAATAAAATAAGCCCATGATTATAGCTTGTTTCAGACCCTTAGACTTCCACCTGTTTCCCAAAATGAAATAATGAACTAATCATCACCATTTCCGCTGTGAATGATTTTTTTAGGGTGGCTGTGGAAAAACTTTCTTCACCTGCATCCTGCACCCCTGGAAAAGTTATCCATGTTTTTTAAATGCATTGATAATCATTTTGGTCTTTTAAGACTATGCTGAAATGATCCTGTTTCACCTTTATGTTCCAGATTTCTGTGATATAGTTGAAACAGTAAAGCATAAGGTCAATAAATAAATCCACTAAGTTATCAGGGCTGATTGATTTAGCAAATATAATTTGAATTTTAGTTTATTTGTTAAGCAGGAAATGAAAATAAACAGTTTAAAGGAGAGAGGCAATGAATTGGAATATCTCAATTTGTAATCTTGGTGTAATTTCTAATGTTTCAATTTTCAAGCACGTTTATTTGATATGCCTTTTAAAATGTGTTTGTTTATATTGGAGTAATAAGTAAAAGGTGGAATGAGTGTGTTTAATTAACCAAATAATCAATTGAAATATGTTTTCAATTCTAGTGAATTAAAGGTGTAATAAACTAATTATGAACGTTATTAATTAATTATATTATATATTTTTTACTTGTAATTCTGTTTTTATTGGATACCATTATTAAAAAACCACACAATATAAATAAATAAGCACATGCTTATATTTCAAACATAAATAATCAGTTTTATCAAGACAAATTCAGAATTTTCAGGAAATCATCACTCACACTCACTGAATTTTTTTCTGCTGAACAATGAGAGAAACCATAATTCTGGTAGTTGTTCCATGTTAACCATATCAGACAATTACTATATATTTCGATTTTCTTTATGAATCCTTCACTTTGACCCATATTTCATGAGCAACCAACTTGGCAACGGCGGCAGAATGCCTCACTTATTTTCGTGTACAATGTTTGATCTATAAATAAGTCTAGAAAAACACGTTGTATGGATACCGGTTGGTATAATTAACTTCTCTTAGTATTTATCTTTAATATCAATTCATTATAACTAGTGACAATTCCTCCAAAGAACCACGATTTTAAAAAGAAAATAGTGACTGACTATTTGTGTTCCATAGAAATTTTCTGCTGACACAGAATCCGCTACTTGATCACGTGACTTCATTCGTAGGACTACATTCTAGCAGACGACACTTGGAATTCCGATTACCGCTTGGGATTATAAGGAAATTCGGCCGATAAAAAATGGTGATGTTTGGTAATAAGTGAAATCCACCATTTTGTATTTGTCAAAGTAAACATTATTACACTTTACCTTGCTTGAAACTACTGAATTCATTCTACTAGCTGATATTGTAGAGAAAACCAATGTTTATTGAAACAAACTAATGCGGAGGTCATGCAAGGTCGCTCATGTAAATTATTAATCCTTTCCGGAAATCCACGAATAATAGGTTTCCACGAAATTAGGTTACTTGACTGTATGCTTTTCTGTTAACTTGAAAATAAAAGATATTGTTTAATTATTTCAGAACTACCTCATTTCAATCTGGAGAACCTCAAAACTGCCAAACTGAAGTCGTCACAGGATATCAAGATGAATGGGCCTGCTGAGCAGGGAGGGACAAGGGTTATGATAGCAGGGTAAGATCATATTTCAATTATTGTTGTTGCCAGTTACACATGATATGACTCAAAACATTCTTCAGATTTGTTTTATGTTTCCATACTGCTTCTCAGAAGAAAAATATAATGTTAAGTTCATCTACAATTAAAGAAAAATAAATGAATAATTATACCCTAAACGGAATGGACAATAATTAGGCTACCTTCTTTCATTCTTAATATTTTTTTTAATTCTCTTTCAGTTTTAAGTGCTAAGAATCTACTGTTTTAAACTTTAAAATAATACTTATATATATATATATATATAATAGTACTCAATATATATATATATATATATATATATATATAGAAATCTATTGATATATTTAGCACTATTTTAACAATGAAACTATTCTATTTTGTATATATATATGATTCTATATATTATTTCTTGGTACTATTAAAAATGCAAATTATCCAAAATTGTAGGTCATCTTGGAATTTTCTGTCAATTTACTCATGTAAGCAAAAGTGTCTATGTGAATTAGTTTGTCTTTGGTTGATGAAAATGCCAAGCAATAAAAAAAATTATTATACTAGAAATATGGATTTTAAGAGGGAAATTTTCACTTGAAATGTTGATCGTCTTCACATGTAATTTCTTAGAGAGAAATGTAAAATAACCTTATATTTGTATGGACCTGAAGACATTCTTATACAAATGGCATGCAATTGACAATTTAATTTAGAATGTTTGTAGGATGACAGAAAAATTCAATTTTGAACTTGCTGTTGTCAGAGAGTAGTTTGCACATCCAGTAAGATTTAGTTCACACCAACGGCGAATGCCGCGATTTAAATCGGCGAGCAAAGCGCCGTCATTTTTTGTTTACTTTTCCAAAAATATCATGATCTCCTAAGTAATGTTACACTCTGATAAGCTCTGATACGAATTGGCTACGCTTTGGGGACGAATTATTTCCCGATTTGATCAGGCCTTGTTATGCTTTATATCATGCTTTGATAAGCTTTATTGAGCTTTGATGCGGTTATGATGCTTTAAATCACGCTCTGATACGATTATCAAGCTCTGTTGTGCATTGTTAAGCTCTGTTACGCATTTGAAAATTTCGAAATGGTCGATTTCATGCCGCTTTTGATCAAGTGGTGACAGACCGTGAAGACTAGGGTCCCCGCTTTGAATAAAGCTCTGTTAAGCTTTCCTACGCTTTGAGTCAAGTTTGCTGAACTTTGTTACACTTAGTTAAGCTTTGATACGTTCTCGGCGCTTTAATCAATTCGTGACAGAGCGCCCAAAATTTTTAAACAGTTTAAAAATTTTTGGCTATCTTGCCGAATATCCAGCTTTGCTCAAAGCTTTCCAGAGATCTATTACGACCCTGGTGCTTTAGTCGAGCTTTGTTACGCTTTGTTACACTTTGGTACCGCTTTAAAGCGCCATCAAAGCGCCGTTGGTGTGAACTGAGCATTAGCTTTCTCTGATTCTATTTCAATTTCAAATAGAATTCGCTAGAAATAAAATCTTGTATTAATTGTTTGGTGTATTTCATTTATTTCAGAAGCAGTCCATCATCACCAACATGGATTGGAAAAAGAACAAAGTTAGAAGGATTATTAATGGCTATGATAGCTTCATTAACTATGATTGTTTTGATATTAGTTGTTATATTAGCTATTAAATCAGCCAATGATGGTAAGTTTTTTTTTTTGTGTCCCCACCTTTCTTCCCAAATGATACAATACACAAATATAGTTCACCAACTTATTGGGATCAACACTTGGATCAGCAAGGTCATTGGAACATTAATATTATATAAGCATGCCCATTTTTCGAAATCATGTTTCATTTCTTTACAGATGATGCTCATGTGGGTATGAGCATAACCATATATGTACTAAATGGATAGGGACCAAGTCCAAAGTTGAAAAGGTTTTCATGGGCTTAAAAAAATCTGTTAGTTCTGAACAAGCAAAAATTGAGCAGAGCTTAATCAAGCCATTTATATTTAAAGCAAGAAAGTGGGCTTGCACTTCACAGAGCCAGCTCCATTACAAAAGATTATTAAAAATATTAACCCTAATGTCTAATATTGTATCTTGTAATTTGAACATTGAACTTAATGAGTGGTAGAAATGGGTTAATTGTCTATAGGTTATTGGAATAGGTTATCAAATCAATCTCTATATTATTACTATCAAAATGTCAGTGTGCTAAAATGTTTGAATAATTCAAAGCAGACTTTACTCTTTTTTTCTTAGAAAAAACATTACCGATTTTTTAGAATCTGCATAATCATTAAATCAAACAATCAGTATAGAATTACTAAAAGAGTAATTATTATTAACTATTTCAACAATATCAAGGTAGTTATTATTGAATTCTTGTTATTTAAAATCAATTCAAATCAATATTATTGTGTTTTGTTAAAAGAGTGTACTTATACTTCTAGAACATGCCAATTTGAAATTGTGCTTGAAGTCCATTTGACAATTTGTCATCCTGGATGGAAACTATTAGCAGGCTATATAGTATTTTTTTTAGTGATTGTGTTCTTATGATTCAAGGTCTTCTTGAAATGAGTTCTGTGGATGTTTGTTGCAGTCAGAAACAAATCAGTTGATATCCATCAAAAACTATATGTGATAATAAATATTTTCCTCCTAGTTTAATTTCTAAAACACAGCCCAGCCATAGAGCAATACACTTCCTTAAATAAAGAAAACAGTACATAATAGATTATGTGTCAAAGTCCCTGTTGAATATGTCAGTCTGTCATGATATATTGATAATGTAATAGAAACTCAGACAATTTCAACTTGAAGCTAAGTACATGTATTATGTCTATGTTAGAAGAAAGATCAGAATTTGATTTGATCATCAATAATACATGTCAAATAATCATTGTAACAGAGCTGATTAATATTCAACACTAGCAACTTTTTACTTCTTTATTACCTTTAATGTTAGAGAGCTTGAAACTCTATCTCATATTGTATGCAAGATAAACTTCTTGTTAATGGCAATTGACACCCAGTGGTAATATGTATTGTTCGTGACAGGCTCTATTGAACTATACTTGTGTTTTATTCCAGTCATAAAATATTGATAGAACTTTTATTATTCAATTAGTACACGTCAATACCCGATATGATTACAATACATTATTATGTCCCTTAGTTAAAGGAAAAGTAGGTTACATCATAGACATTTAAAACCCTGTACAGTTGGATTATTGGTCACTACTTCCAAAGATATTATTTAATTCTTTAAATCTTGAAACTTTACAAGAATAATTGTTTCCTACTGTTTAAATGCGAAAATTTCTGTTACTAAACATTACTTTGTAAACAATTTGAAAATCAAACTATAATTTTGAAAAGGTTATTGGGAATTATAGATCATAAATAAATGATAACTCCTAATAATGAAAAAGCCAAAAATAATTTGACAATATTAAAGTAAATTTTGTGTGCACTAAAGGGAAACATGATTTTTAATAAATTCTTGTTATTGTCAATCTAGCCTTTACTTTCCTAAACAGTAGTCTCATTATTTTTTACCTGAAAATTAAACAGTATAGAATAAGGGGCTCATAATATATCAAATTTGATGTTCAGTGGTATTGTTGTGCCACTAGTTAAAATTGGTATATTAAGAATCTATTGTTTATTGTTTTGAATTCCTGAGTTGCATTATTATGAAAACTTGTATATAATATAAAGAAATAATGTCAACATTGAAACTGTATGTTGTTTATATAATATAAGATATAACAGTAAATTGTTTATATTTAGCACTAGGTTTCTATCTGACAAGTTGAATCTGATATTATCTTTGTTTGACCTTGAATGCAAGTAAAAGATATGGGAAGGTCAAAAAGATAAAAGAAATAGTGTTTATTTATACTGCAATTTTTTTTATTATGGAAAGTGTTAACGTTTTAAAATTCTTGTATATTGTATATCGAAATATGAAAAAATAAATGGGATCAAAATTGAAGATCTGGGACACCAGTGGAGATCTGATCAGATCTTACTGCAGATTAATTCTTGACTCTGTATATGACTGTGGTATCGAAATTTATTGTTCCAAGTTAACAAATTTTACTTGTGATAATCTTTCTATGGACATGAAAAAACAGTGTTCCTGGATATACCAAATCCTAATAAATTTAGATAAAAAACTTAAATGCATTCATAGAAGTTGAAATGATCTATTATTCTAAAATGCTTGGTTGTCATGATAGTTGATTTGTTGTCACATCAAGCTGGCTATCTGATAAATTGGAATTTCTAATGAATAATCCATGTATTAGCTAAAAAAAAAAAGAAATTGAAAGCCTCAGGGAATCCAAAGAACCTGAATTTGCTTAAAGAAGCCTATATACATTAACATGCAGGACCTATACATAAACATCATCTAAAAACACCGAATTTGACTTCTGGATAAAAAAAATTAGAAATGTTGATTTGAATCGATCCAGGTCAAAAGTTTTCCACTTTTGTTTCTTTTACCTTTCTATAAATCATGAAAACATAGTAATTTAATTGGGTGTCTCAAAATCATTCAAGATTCAAAATTTATATATAAGTTACGTGTGACAATCAAGTAACATTCAAATCAATAGCTATTTACTCACAACTATTCATTTTGTATTACAAGAGCTGTCATAGCAGTAATGAATATTTTAAAAGGCATGCCTCCATATCTTTCATATCTTTGATAGTTTTTATGAATCTGAATTTTTCCACCATCCTTCACATTTCTCAGTAAATAACACAGTGTTCTATGTTCAATTCTCAATGGAATAGCTGATTCATTGATAAAATGATGTCGATAAATGTCAAAGGTAAACTATCTCATGCCTTATGAGAGGATTTGGCAGTTTATACGTAGATAAATGTAAAAAGCAACATTTACAACCTGAGGTAATCTAAAAGTCTTTCTCAAGTTGGGAGTACACGAGGTATGACGTCTGATGTTATAATAAATCTGCAATGTTAATAAATTATTAACATTGCAGGATTATTGATACAGTAAAAAATCTACTGATAATCCTGCACCAGACACTGTAACTTCATCTATTCCGACCCTAACAACATGTTTACATACTACAAGATATACTTGATAAAGGAAAGTATTCAAACCTCATTCAACACTGCATGGCATTAATCCATTAAAAGGAATGCGAAATGAGAAATGACATGTGTATTGCAGACGATACAAAACAATACAATTTGGCTTTTCTTTAGACATTCCTTTACTGTTATCAAATGATTTGCACAAATCTTTAATTTGTGATGGAACAGTTTTCCCTGTAGAGGGTTTCAGACTACTAAATTACCATAGCAATATTATGTGGTAAGAGGTAGAAATACCAAAGTTGAAAGGTTTTCTTATAGTTTATAGAGTGAATCCTTCATTATTAATTCCAAGGTTCCATTAGATACATCATAGTGGTATTTCTTATAACTTGTAGACATTGGATTATTTATCATAACTTTTATAATCTTAGTGTTTTATATATCTTAAGGTAAGTATATTTTGGACCTGTTTAAAAAAAATGGTTTACATATATATAACTTAGTTTTATGGATTAAGGATTGTCATAGTGTGTTTAGGTTTATATTAAAATATTCAGGACCAAGTTGAAGCACCATTGCAAGTTTCATAGTTTTGGTCATTTATGTCAGTCAAGAACATAAAATGCTCAGACTGTTCCACCTTCATTTTTGTGTATAAGGATGAAGGTTAGAAACTTGTGCTCAGTTTGAATTTCCTTAGCTACTATTGGCGATATTGCATTGTAACCTGGACAATTTCTCTTTTTAACGCTAGTATGTAGCCCACATGCTCCTTTTCTAAATTTTACATGTATTGGTGACACTGATAGCATCAATTTTCACCACTCCAATTTTCAGTCAGACATATAAGTGTTTGCTGACGTCACTGTATCACATACATCGTCAAACACTTAGTTTTAGTTGAATCGAAGGAACCACAGACATAATTGGAATGGCGCAAATTGATGCTATCAGATTCCACAATACGCATAAATTTTTGTAGAAAATTTTTTTTTACAATCCCTTAAAGCATTTGAGTTCAAATTCCGTAACTTAATTTTTGATTTTGATTCTTAAAGGATACTTAGCTTTAACATATACAACTTTCTCATTGTTATACAGTAATAATAAATAATTCATAATTATTTTTCAGATGATTCAGCAGACTCTCGCCTCACTTACAACATGCTACAATCCAAATCACAAGAAACAAAAATCCATACTAATGGCAAACAGATTTATAATACGACGTCCCAAACTATTGAAACCGAAGATGGTGAAGCCGAAATTTGTTTAACACCGACTTGTGTTAAAGCTGGTAAGGATTAAATTGTCTGAATTACCATACAATGTAAATTTGTAGACAGTTCATTCCATTTTAAGATTCTGTTACTTGGAACCTGGATCAAACTTGAAGTTGCACACCAACAAATTTTATGGAAAGAATTCTGAAAAAAGTTATTCCATCATTTTGGTCTTATAATACCACAATACCACGTACAAACTTGCAATGGGATACATGAAATTTATTGTCTAAAATGATTTAAAAAAGATTTTGCTCAAGTGTACAGGCAATACATTTTTATACACCCACATGGAAATGTGGACTTGTATTGCCTTTGCCACTGTCCGTCTGCATTTCCTGTGAGCTACAGACTACAGTTTATATTTGATTTTACTGAAATTTAGTGTGATGATTTATATTCATGAGATCTTGGTCAAGTTTGAATTTGTTGATTTTTCAATGGACAGTCTATGAAGTATTGCCCTTACTTAGGAAAAATTCGTCCACATTTGTTTGTGAGCGCAATGAAGACTACAGTTTTTATTTGATTTTGATGAAATTTGGTGTGAGGATTTATGTTCATTAGATATTGGCCAAGTTCGAATAAGATAATTTTTTGATGAAAAATTTTTGAGTTATTGCCCATGACTTGTCATGTCAAAATTTGTTTGTGAACACAATAGAGACTACATTAATTGATTTTAATGAATCTTGGTGTGATCATATATATCGATAAGATCTTGGACTGATTCATATTTGACGATTATTCGATGAACAGTTTTTGAGTTATTGCCCTATTGTATTCATCCAATTATGATAAAATTTGGTGTTATAATTTAAATTGATGAGAATTTAGTAAAGTTTGAATACAATGATTTTGCGATGAAGGGCATTTGAGTTAGTGCTATTGATTAAAAAAAAAATAATTAATGGAATTAATGTAATAAATAACTACAATGTATTATGAAGATCTTTAAAATGATAAAATTCATATTTAAGTTCCTGAAGAATGCTCTTGTTTCTGACAACTTGTTGTGGACGTACGTTACCTTGCCTGGCAAGCTATCTTTCATTTTAGAAACAAAATCTGCGACATTTTACCTGTGCTTCTGCTACTTTGAATAAAACAAGCTAAAAAGGCGGTCCGTCCGTCAACATTTCTTGTGAGCACTATAGAGACTACAGTTTTTATCTGATTTTGATAAAACTTGGTGTGATGCTTTAGATTGATAAGATCTCGGTCAAGATGTAAATTGACGCATTTTCGATGAATGGTTTTTGAGTTATTGCCCTTGACTTTGTTAAAACGCATCAAAATTTGTTAAAAATAGTTCGTGAGCAGGATTGAAGCTACAGTTTTCAACCGATTCTGATGAAACTTGGTGTGATCATTGGAATTGATAAGATCTCGGACAAGTTCTAACTTGACGCATTTTCAATTAACAGTTTTTGAGTTATTGCCCTTGACTTTGTTAAAACGCATCAAAATTTGTTAAAAATAGTTTGTGAGCAGGATTGAAGCTACAGTTTTCAACCGATTCTGATGAAACTTGGTGTGATTATTGAAATTGATAAGATCTCGGACAAGTTCCAACTTGACGCATTTTCGATGAAATGTTTTTGAGTTAATGCCATTAACTTACGAAAAACGTGTTAAAATTTGTTTGTGAGCACAATAGAAGCTACAGTTTTCAACCGATTCTGATGAAACTTGGTGTGATCATTGGAATTGATAAGATCTCGGACAAGTTCTAACAAGAGATATTTTTGATGAACATTTTTTGAGTAATTGCCCTTGACTTTGTAAACACGCGTCAAAAGTTGTTTTTTGCCCTTGATTAGAGATGTGTGATTTAATTGTTTGTTGTATTTGGGTTATTGATATTGATTTTAAAAAAAATTGTGGAATTATTCAGCATGAATAATTTCTTCAATATGAGAAAATTTGTACTTTAGTCACCAAAGACTGTTTTATTTTTTCTGACAGCTGCCAGTGGGCGTATGTTACCTTGCAACGCAAGCTATCTTTTTTTCTTATTTCAGCTGCCCGTTTGATGAATGCTATGGATGATTCTGTTGATCCATGTGAAAATTTCTTTGATTATGCTTGTGGTAATTGGAATAAAGTTAATGTTATTCCTGATGATAGCGCCTTGTATAATACATTTGGTAAATTACGTAATGATCTTCAAGTCATGGTTAAAGGTGAGAGAATGTTTACTTTTTAATGTGAAATACCTTTGTTAATTACAAATATTTCATAAGAGGTCATTGCCATAATTCTGTAAAAGAAAGGCAAATATAAATGTGATATCTTTTTGAATAGTTGTAAGTAACAACAATAGAGTGAGCAGTTTGCCCTAATATTTAGTTTATATTTTTAATGAAGTACTGGTATTGTTGGCAATATGCCTAAACTGGTACAGGTATTGTAGGCAATATGCCTAAACTAATTTGCCCTGAAAAACAACATTCGTAACTGAGTTTAGTATGGTACTAACATTGAGTTTAAACAATGTAGGCAATATGCCCTAAACTGAGTGGACAATAAACCCTAAAGTGAGTGGGCAATTTGCCCTATAATACAACATTTATAAGTTGAGTGGCAATTTGCCCTATAATACAACATTTGTAATTAGTTATACTATTAATGTTGACTTGAAATATTGTAGGCAATCTGCCTAAAGTGGACCTGCAACTTGGCAGACCTTATCCTGGGATTCTATTCTTTTAGAACAGATCAAAAATCAAAATTCCACTAATGACTCGATAAAATTTTTCTTGGCCAAAAGGATTCAAATGCATTCCATCTGCTAGCAATACTGGTTGAATTATTGTTCAAACCGCTCAATTTTACTTACTGTAAGTAAGGTCTGACTTTTATGCTTTCCTTGAGCATTCTGTTGAAAGAAATCACATTGTTGTTGTAATTCAACACTGAACCATTTCTATCTTAAATTCTATGAATTAATTGCAGAATCGAAACTTGGGTGCAGTGTTGGGCAGATCTCTGCACTTCTTCGGCTAACAATAATAGTCTATCACACAAGAGAGATAAATCTGCCTTATTAGCATTCATAGTATCCAAATCATTTCCACCATTGAATATTATAACATGATTAGGTTTAGAATATTGTGCTTCCTATACAAACTGGTTACACAGATTATTATTGTTGATTGTACCAACCCTTTTTCGGAAGAAAGCCACATAGATCGGGGAATTTAGACCAAAATTTGGTTGCAAATTGGTATTTCTTAGTTTGAGATGAATATTCAAACGATTCACATGTGAACTACCTAAAACCAAAACTCTACTAATACGTTGTGCTTCCATTCTGAACACTTCAAATCTGCAGAAAAATTAGCCGCCACTAACTGAGTTAACAATAACACTACTGTAGTACTAGATCTACAGGACACTTTGTTTGTTCCGAAAATTCTAATTAGTCTCTGTCAGGGGTTCCTAAGAATGTTGATAATGAAGGAAGCCCAGTAAGAATGTACTTAACTAAATTATCTGCCGAAAGGCTTTGAATTAACTAATTTTTTTTAACTAAGAATTAAAAAACAATGGCGCTTTTCTCTGCCGGAACCCGGATGAAGATAAACCCCTTTTAGAGAAAAGTTTCATTTGTTAATTACAAATATTTCATGAGAGGTCATTATCATCAAGTTTCATTTAAATCGGATGAAAACTGTGGTCTCTATTGTGCTCACAAGCAAATTTTTATGCGTTTTTCCTAAGTCAAGGGTAATAACTCAAAAAAAGTTCATTGAAAGATCATCAACTACGAACTTATCCAAGATCTCATAAATATAAATGATCACACCAAATTTCAGTAAAATCAGATGAACACTATAGTCTCTATTGTATTCACAAATAAATTTTGACGTGTTTTTCCTACCTAAGTCAAGGGCAATATCTGAAAAAACAGTTCATCGAAAAATCAGCAAATTCAAACTTCAAAAGGACTTTTTAAAAACGATCAAAATTTTTACATAAGAATTTTATTAAATTCGTGTTTGTTTAAATCAACAGATAATGGACAATTTATATTTGTGGCACGTTATGTCACAGATAGGTGACCACCCTTGATATACTGAAAATTTATTAGGGAAAGCAATCACTTGTTTTATTAAAGATGGTAGCTATGAATAGAGTTTTCAATCACTTTAACAATCATATTGTATATTTGTATAATTTTAGATTTATTAAATAATCCTGTCAATGATAAAGATAGTGCTGCTATGAGAAAAGCAAAATATCTTTATGTTTCTTGTATAAATGAAAGTAAGTAATATAGAACCATATTTGAAAATGTCCAAATAAATAAACAACTATTTTCTTACACTGAATCATTTGACTTCGAAAAAATACATATAAAATCAATATCATTGGTAATTTGTGTAATATTTTAAATGATAATGAAAATATTGTGAACACTATTGAAATTTTGTGTCTTATCTCATGTTTTTAGCATTAATTGATGAACGTGGATTAACACCTATCATGAATCTATTAGAAGAATTAGGAAGTTGGCCGGCAGTAGTTGGTGATGATTGGAATGAAGAACAGTTTGATTTATTAGATTTAATAGTTAAATTACGTTTATATAATAATAAAATATTAATAGAACAATGGGTCAGTGCTGATGATAAAAATTCTGAAGTCAATATCATTCAGGTCAGTCACTATTTACTATGTTACTTAGATCAGTATATTGTCAGTATTGTGTCCGTCTGCCACAAACAAAACCCAAAATGTAAAACAACATATTGGCAATACATAAGTATTTCATAATGAAAAGTGGTAGCATGTGTTTAGAAGAGTATACATAAATGAAATGATAAAAGAAAAACACATTGTAATTAAATTTTTGTAATAAGATATTACATTATCATCCAATTCTTACACATAGCTCGAATATTACAATTTTGATTTCAGTTAGACCAGCCTGATTTAGGTATGCCATCTAGAGATTACTATTTGAAAGGTAGACATCATAATACAGTTCTAGAATATGAAAATTTTGCAAGAGAGGTAGCTGAGTTATTTGGAGCTAATAAATCTATAGCAGAGAGAGATATTGCTTTAATGATAGATTTAGAGACTGAAATAGCAAATGTAAGTTAGATTTTGGAGAATATTAGTCAAATTCAGAAGCAAGCAAGAAGATTAAAGAATTAGACAATAGCTATATTTATTTTTTGAATGCTATGTTTAATTCATTATTTACAGTAAATCAAGTTTAAGGGATGCAGAAAAATTGACTCCTTTTTGGTAATAATGTGATTTATTGAAAACATGTAAAATAAATGCAGCTTGAATCCAGAGGCAGAGATGTCAGAAAAATGACGCTTTTGAGGCTAGAATTATACTTTATATAAAATTTACATCGAAGGAAATGAAGCAATGGAAATCCTTGGTTCATACAAATTGCTTAAGTTTTGATCAAACATGAATAAGGGTCACTCGATTGGTGAGTTCTTAGCATTCCAGATTCATGCAATCAACCATACGTTCAATAAAACAAGTTGGAAAACAGAGTTCAGTACGCGTTTTAAGTATGCCGAAAAAATAGTAGGTGCAGACGAAATTTAAAGTGGCAGAGAAGGAAATAGAGGGGAAAATGCTGAATATGATGTATTCCGCTTCCGTACTGTTCAATTGAGGGCAGAATTGGAACAGACAGAACCTGTTCAGAACTCTCAAATCATATATCAAAAAGATCAAAGCTTTCTACATTTGAAATTCTTTCATAATGAATGAAAAGTTTTCCTTTCTCCATTTTCAAGTTAACGATTCCACCTGATCAAAGAAGAGATAATGAAAAATTATATAATAGAATGACAGTTAAGGAATTATCAGAGAAAATACCTGGGGTAGGTTTATTGTTCATTCTCATTGTATATCCCTATATTAGTAATCTAACAATCAATGTGTATCATTAGTTTCAGTAGCCAGATTGGATAATATACTGTTTTTCTTTTACAAATTAATCGAAAAACTTAGCTTGACTGGCTAGAAAAGCAGGCTTTCTTAAAATAATTGAAGATAATGGATATGATGTTTCAAAACAGTGCAGCAGACATGATACAAGATATTTCTGAAAAACAACCAACTAATCAATAGTTTAAGTGAAATAACTCAATCCTTTAATCACATGAACGATATAACTGACACGTGTTGTGACTTATCATACATTAAGCCTTACTTATCACATCTATCATTACTTAACACAAATTTTTATAGTCCTTAATTTACTAACAGACTTAAACTACTTTATAAAATAAGAAATCTATTCTTGATGATTAGAGGACCTGGTGCATATTCTTGCATCAAGAACTTAAGTATCAGCTCTAGAAGCACAACAAATCGGCGATTACCATTGAACCTTGATATTCATCACTGGAGAGGAAATAACTTATAAACCACCTAAAAATGACTGAACAAATTGGAATTAATGATCATATAAAATTGTGAATATGGAATTATACACTAGAGTTAGTTTACACTAACAAATCTTTCACAAAGTAGACATTATCATATCTCCACACACAACATACTTAAAGTTGCTTTGAACTTTGTTTTTAAAATGATTGTCAGTACCAATTTATTGATTGATTTCTTTATTATATGAACTTCAAATTTAATTTTTTATAGTTTGATTGGTTGCGTTATTTAAGGATGATATTTTCCAATGTCAATATTACTGTTAATGAAACAGAAGAACTTGTTGTCTATGCTCCTGATTATTTAGAAAATATGGTGAAATTAATCAACAGAACAGACAAACGGTAATTTTTCTTTTACAAATTTGACCTACTGTTACTCTGAGCTCTGAGACAATGGACAGTGGACAGTGAAATATCTTGATGTTCAAAGGCCATATGTGCACATAGTTTAAATGAACCAAGAGTAATTTCAAGCTGCTTTGTCTACCTTGAAATGGGGTTACAAATAGGGAGCGGACTGATGTAATGTGGTGACAACTGATGACTGATGAGGTTGACAAGCCAAATGCAAGTGTGCTAGGGCCATGGACTAAGAGAGTCTGAGCAAAAAAATTTAGAATGCTAGAATTGATTTGATGCATTCTAACACACATTTGGGGGGAAAAATTGATAAAAATAAGAATATGAAATTTCTTTTTAATGAATTTTGGATACGATTGGAGGTACAAGGGAGAGAAAAAGGGCTACCCCTGTACGCCTACTCACTCCACCACTGGCCTTATCCAGGTTCAGAACTATATTTTCATGTCTGCACTTTTTTCAGAATATTAGCAAATTACTTGTTCTGGAGAATAATGATGAACAGAGTGACAAACTTACCTGATAAATTTAGAGATATACGTAAAAAATACCACAAGGTAAATTGATTATATTTTTTAGAATAAAAATTGACTGTCTCTCAGCTCTTTCCTTATCACTTGAATTAAAAAACCAGATTTTATTGTGGAATTTAGCAAGGTAGAGAACATCAGATACCACTCTCCAAAAAGTTTTTATTGTATATTTTGGTAATGAAGTGTAGTTATGATATATTTTAGACAATGTTTGGTATTGAAGTATTTTTTATTGTATATTTTGGTAATGAAGTGTAGTTATTGTATATTTTAGACAATGTTTGGTATTGAAGTATTTTTTATTGTATATTTTGGTATGAAGTGTAGTTATTGTATATTTTAGACAATGTTTGGTATTGAAGTATTTTTTATTGTATATTTTGGTGATGAAGTGTAGTTATTGTATATTTTAGACAATATTTGGTATTGAAGTATTTTTTTATTGTATATTTTGGTATGAAGTGTAGTTATTGTATATTTTAGACAATATTTGGTATTGAAGTATTTTTTATTGTATATTTTGGTAATGAAGTGTAGTTATTGTATATTTTAGACAATATTTGGTATTGAAGTATTTTTTTATTGTATATTTTGGTAGTGAAGTGTGGTTATTTGATATTTTAGACAATATTTGGGAGTGAAGTTGAGAGATCCAGATGGAGAGATTGTGTTGATTATGTTATAGACAATGTTGGAAATGCTGTTGGTAGATTATTTGTTGAGAAACATTTTGATGAAAATGCCAAAAGTATTGTAAGTGTTGATATTTTCATTTTTATATATATATAAAATAAGTAACTGTCTATTGGTCTGTTGCCATGCAGTCAAGCTTAAAAAATAACTAAAGCTGCCAGATAATCTTTCCTCCCATTAAACACAAAAATACCAGAAAGAGAAAAGGAAATATATAATATAGCAAAGATTTCTTGCAAAAATGGCTCATTGGACACTGCATGGCATTGTTTGGGCAATAACATTTGAAATAAGATTTTGGCCAATTTGTTATTAGTCTTTTGATATACTTGACCAATTGTGCTATTTTCTAGGCTTTAGAGATGATCCATAACATACGTGAATCATTCTATCAATTATTAGATGAAGCAGATTGGATGGATAAAAAAACACAAATTGTGGCTAAAGAAAAGGTATTGTAATATTTTTTCATCAAGATTCTATAGGTGTCAAAATTAAAAGAGAACAAAATAGTACATAATGGGAAAGAACCTTTTGATGTTAATAATAGTGATCAGCAACTCATACATTACAATTAACATATGACACCGTTAAAGTTATGAACATTTGGAAACTATAGATGTTGTTGCTGAATCATTTCTTACTGTGAAAAATATTTACAGGCTGAAAGCATTGATGAGAAGATTGGCTATCCGGAATATATTCTCAATAATACAGCTCTAGATGAAGAATATGCAGGCGTGAGTTATGCTCTTTTAATATTAAGTTATGCTAAAACTGAATCCCCCTTTAAGGTATTGTTGGTGTAGCAGTTGGTGTTTCTGACAGGTGAGCATGGAAAACTTGATTTTTCTCAATACTTGTATCGAATGTATGTTAATGTATGTGGATGTGTTGTTATGATTATTCTATCATGTAGAATGTTTACAGGTCGAGTTCTATCCTGATAAATATTTTGAAAATGTGATGGCCAATATTAGAAGTATTGCTATAGGTAATTTAAAACAGTTACGTGACAAGGTAGATAGAAGCAAGTAAGTTGAGTCATTACTTTAAAAGTACCGGTATCTTTGTTTACCCAGTCTAACCAAGTTTCTACATAATATTAAATATATTATTTAATCAACCACATGTTTGAATTTTTCAGAGCAAAGTATTGAGTAACTGATCTTGAATTTATATTGCCCTCAACTAATTGATCAATATAAAAAACAATTTCTATGCTTTTTAAAAAAAAAACTGCTGAATACACCAAGAATTTTTTCAAATAAAATATGATATCTATTTGTAGATGGTCAACAACACCAGTAGTGGTAAATGCATTTTATAGTTCAGCCAAAAATCAGATAAGTAAGTGTTATTGTCTTTTTCAACAATACTGTAGATATGACACTTGTTTGCAATTCAATAGAAGGGAGGTGAGAATTGTCTATCAGCAAGATGGTGGACCAGCTGTACAGATAGCAGCCCTGATCGAATATTATTAGCTGAACTTAAAAAAATGTTTTATAAAACTTCACACTTAATAACTATAGTGTTTATTTGCATTTTCAGTGTTTCCTGCTGGGATTCTACAACCTCCATTTTACAATAAAGATTACCCAAAGTAAGTTGATGAGTACCTGCTTCTTTTTAATGAGACTGCTAGTCCCAACTGTGTTTCTAAACATTTGTTTCAACCCTCTAACTGTAACTTGATGTCATAAAGTTTGAGGATGAGTTTTTGGGTATTGATAGATTATTATTTTAGATTTATATTGTAAGTTATTTTGTGTAAGTATTCTTACATGCTATTTTAGATCATTGAATTATGGTGGAATTGGTATGGTCATCGGACATGAAATTACACATGGATTTGATGATAGAGGTATCTTTATAAATTATTTAGATACATTTGTACTCTGTGGAGTTTCCATGAATCATTAAGTGGGGGTCAAATATTATTCACATAATTGTCAAGAAAGGCTTACAGGCACTTCTTTACCTAGGTTAAGTGAAGGGGGAAACATGACTCTCCTTGCACCATACATGTGTAATCTACCGATGTTGTTGGGTTTCTACCGCTTTTGCATGTTGTCCACCGCTCTACCGATGGTATACCCAATTCTACCGATTTTTTGTTTTTTTCTTGAGCAAATTTTCACGGGGCCTACTGTTTTGCACCCCCAAACACCCTCAACCCCATAGAGACAGCACTGTTTTATATTTCATTTTTAGGGGTATTTTGATATTATGAGTGTTTTTTTACTTTGCTACACCAAATACTTAGCTTTTGATAAAAGGAAAATTTTATGAAGATAATAAAAGCATGTTTGAATAACAACCTGTAATAAAGTAAGAGAAACTATTTTCACTGAAAATGCAAGTAATATTTAATAAATCGGGCTAATTTTTAAAATGAACCAAATTTTGTGTTGTTTTTAACTAATAGGTCGCCAGTTTGATAAAGATGGTAATTTAATTCAATGGTGGGATGATGAAGTTATTGAAGCATTTAAAAATCAAGCTCAGTGTATTGTAGAACAATATGGTAATTATACAGTACCAGACATTAGTTTACAGGTAATTCACATTTTCATCTTCATTTCTACAAACAGTGTGGCCTTGTCTACTGTGACTTTACATTGAACTACTACCTTAAATTTTTATTCCAACCTTTTCAACAGGTTTCTACCTTCATATAATGCTTATGCTTTTAATAAAAAAATGGCTGAAATTTGAAGTTTCAGTGCCTTCCGATTAGAAACCATTATTGCCCTTGTCCTTGAAAAATAAAACTGCTATAGCTCCTTTAGTTTTTACCGACAAGGCAACTTTCATACAACCTTGGTTTTCAAACGCAAATGGTAAAAATACCTCAGGTTGTTTTTGTTTTCAACTATTTAATGTGGTTATATTTGGACACGATCTACTGTTTTCTTTACTCTAGGTAAATGGAGTTCAGACTCAAGGAGAGAATATTGCTGATAATGGTGGTTTGAAAGAAGCTTACATGGTAAGTGGTCACTTTTACGATATGATAGACCTGTAGGAATAACTATCATTAGCTTGGATCAAAAAAAATATATACATCCGTGTAAAACTATTCATATCAATAATCAGGCAAACGAAATCAGGTAGACGAAACATTGGTCTCTATTCCAGCCTCTGATAGCTATTTGGACAGATGTCAGCTGGTGTAGAGACAGATATAATAAGCTTTGTTAAATGGGGACATTCTGCATCTCCGCAGGTGCAGGGGTTTTAAGCCTATTTAGATTCCTTGGATCTGCAAAACCCAGGTATATTTGGAAAGATGAATACATTTTGTAGTTCAGTCATGCTATCATTTTCTCCCTACACCATTTATGTCATGTCTCCAGTTCCATCAAAGTTTCATTTTGCGAAACATCGGCCATTTAAAACTGTGTGCGCAGCCAAAAGTTCAAAGGTCACAGAGTCACGTGATACTAACAAAACGAAAGTTTCGGTGATGCTCAACACTAATTTACAATCATCTTAAAGGTAATGCCACATTATGTTAGAGAAAACCTCTTTGGAGATGTGGAAAATCCCCATTTGACAGGGTCTTTTTCTTCTGACTCTACTACAGCTGACAACTGTCAAAATATCCATCAGAGGCTGGAATAGAGGCAGATGTTTTGGACTAGATCTCTGGGAAACTTCATAAGATTCATTAGGGTCATCATTATTTGTTTTAGGCCTACCAGAAGATGGTTGAAGAAAATGAAATAGAAAAAAGAGTTCATCTTCCTGGTATAGAACATCTCAATAACTTTCAGTTATTTTTCCTCAACTTTGCTCAGGTATGTTTATAGGCCTATTATTTCTTTTTATTATCTCAAATCATCTTAATTTAACCCACAATTTTGTCATTAAGCTAGTTGATTAATCTTCACCTACATGGGCAGGGCACCAAGATGGTCACTCAGAGCACATTTAGAGACTACAAGTGTGTGAAATGTAATCACTAATTGTTATTTCTTTGTGTGAGGAGTTGCAAAATCTTCCGAACAATGACAAACTGGATGGAAACCTCATGAAAACATTTTTTGGGTGGACAAGGTCGTGCTTAGGTCAGAACAAAGTAAAGTACATGAAATTTAACATATTTTTCACTCTTGGATTGATATTTTCATTTATTATTGTTTTATGTTGTGTTTTTGATTTCCACTTTTTTTTAAAAATTTTCTGCACAATTATCCTGAACAAGAAAACTTTTCTCAGTTACGTCCCTTTAATTAAATGTTTGTTTTTGACATATTTTCTTCAGATTGAAATGGGTTTGGAATGGCATTTTATTCATAAAACAATTTATATCTCTTGATTGAAACAGAATTGGGTTGATTTATTTGTGGTTACCTGTGATGCGAACATTGTTTTAAAAAGTGTTTTAAATTCATCTTTTGATTGAAGTCATTTTAAAAGTGCCTTTATCTTTATGTTGAAATCTATTTCAATTGAACCTCAAGTAGACATTTTTTAATTACCTTCACTCCTCTCTACTCCATTCCATTTATTTCTCTGTTTAAAACAAATCAAAATAATTTGTCAACAACATCCATGCCGTTATGTTGAAGTATCTCGTCGCCATCCTCCATGCTTCACGTGATGTATGTAGACTATATTATGTGGATATATATAAATCTATGATTGATCCACTGAATTGGAATTTTAGGTATGGTGTGGTACAATGAGACCTGAAGCATCATTTAACAGAATACGAACTGGTGTACATAGTCCTGGAAGATTCAGGTAATTTTTAAAGCTGAAACACATTGAGTTCTTATGTATATAATTATTGAGATGTACTTGAAGACTTTGACCAGTCTTTATTAGCCCACATGGTGCAGAAAAGTAGGAGGTAAAACTCCATTCATGTCATTTCATTTGAAAAGGCTTTGAATTATGATGAATTTATGCAGTTTGCTCAGCATTATAGAAAGAATAGTGATTCATTACAAGATCCACCGTCCTCAGTGTGCAGCTGAAGTATATGACAATCAGTATTTAAACTTTAAAAATATGCTTGGACATGATTTAAATAATCTAGAAATAAAATCTTCTGCATTTTCCAGAGTTGTTGGCACCCTTCAGAATATGGCTGAATTCTCAGAGGCATTTAATTGTTCAAAGTCATCGTATATGAATCCTGAGAAGAAATGTCGAGTATGGTGAGAAGAATAGATGTTTAACATTTACCAATGTAAAAACATTGTTGTTCTGCTAACTGGCTGTAAAGCTTGATGGAAGCGAGAAATAAAATTTTTGATGTGAGCAAGACTTGTACAGAACCAACATTGGCATTGCTATTGACAAAGGTGTTCATATTATACAAAAAGGTGGAATTGTACATATCAAAGTTATAGTGGGGACATTTTCTGATATTATTCAGTGTTTCAGACTGATTTACCATTTCAGTTGGAATAATATTTGAAACGTTGTCTGTCTGGCAGGCAGATATTTGGTACATTCAGTACTTTTCAATATAAATTTATATTCAATATTCAATGCATGTTTCTTTTTCCATGTAATATTTTAATCACTGTATATTTAAATTTCGTATGAGACTATAACTGTCTCAAATTGATTATTATGTTGATTGCCATGGTTTTATAAGTAAACAAGTTGATAACTGAAATTACATGTAGGCTAATACTTGTCTTCCTTCCAAGATCTTTATGATGAAGCAAAGTTTAATATGGCTTGTTTTGATTTTTATAGCTAATGACTATATCATTATTTATACAATCGTTCATTTAACTTTAAGAGATTTAAAAGACAAACACAATCAGCTGCATTTATGGTCAAGTAGACCAGCTTGTTGAAATCTAGCAACCTTTTGAATTCTCTACAAAATTCAACTTGTATACTTATGATTATTGTTGTGTTTTGAGATATAATTTAGGAGAATGTCTATTTTTGTAATTTTACATTACTTTCAATTTTCAATACACATTGGAATTGCTTTGAAATTTTTATGAATATTTATGTTTGAACCTCTAGTTTACCCTTAGTTTTTCTTTTTTAAGGTTGTTCATATTTATTACAGAATCACTCATCAATCCAAAATATAAGCTAGTATGAAGATTTATACACTCACAAGTGCAAGTAGTATTTAACTCTTTCTTGCATGGGAATATTTTATTTTTACATGTATATCATAAAATTTTTAATATTTTGGAAAGTATATCTTTAATCTTGTAGTTTTTATTTGAAAGTTATTGGGTCACTTGTCAACATACAGGAGCAGTACGGATAATGAGCTTGATTCTTCATAAATCTGAAATGAAAGAATTTAATCAAAGCTCCCTATAGAACATCAATCCCACCTAAAGTCAGCTACATTTATTATCAGGGCTAGTTAAATTTATATATGTGTGCAATTATATATTTTGTGCTCATTTTGTTATAAAAATATTTATTCACCATGTAATGTCAAATAAATTTTTTTCATTTCAGTTGTTGTTTTACTATTTACTCTTTCTTCAGCTAGAGATTTCTTTTTGCAAGGTTTTTTTTTCAAAATTATATTGTATCTGCTTATTCTTGTGGCAATTAAAGGAGATTTTTATGATAACATACATTAACCCCAGAGACAGTTTTACATAACTGGCTAGAGAATATAAAGTAAATTGGGTGTGAATTTAAACCTTGACAGGGATTAAACTTCTGGTCAGTAGTGATATATATCCATGTCAATGATAGTTGATGACATAATCATAAAATATCTCAATAGACCCTAGAGGCTTGTCAACTGGTATATTTAAACCAAATTAATGATTACACTGCCATATCACATCTGAAGAACAGATCATTCTCATGTTGCTTTTCCTGTTACCATAAATGGGATCTGACCCTTTTTTTTACAACATGTCCAATACATTAATGCCAATCATTATAAATTTCTTAGTGGGCTGACACAAGAAGATACATGAATAGTGGTGCAAAATCTATAATCTGAGACAATGTTACTGCAATATAATGGTAGAGGCCCTCCTGTTGAAATAAAGTAAGCCTTTCAAGGGTAAGTGAAATAGGGGTTTAATGTTTTTCACACAACAAAGATAAAAAAAATAAACAATTAATTATTGAACCAAGAACCCCTCGAATATTTATATTGTAAAGGGTCAGTGGCTCAAATTAATAGTCAGACATTTATTAATGAAATAAAACATTCAAATTATTAACAAACAAATAATTTCAATAGAATAAACTGTCTATTTATCAGAAACAATTTGTCTTGCAATCAATTCTTTCATTATTTCATTGCTACCTCCATATATTGGTTGTACTCTGGCATCAAGGAATGCTTTAGAAATGGGATATTCCAACATGTATCCCCATCCTCCATGGAGTTGAACACATTCTGTAGCAACCTTATTTTGTAAATCAGTAATCCAATATTTAGCCATAGATGCTGTTGAGGAGTCAAGTCCCCTCTGACTATGTGTTTTCAGACATTGGTCAATAAAGGCTCTACCAACACAAATTTCAGTTTTCAATTCTGCTAATTTATGCTGAATTGTTTGTAATTTTGACAAGGTTTTGCCAAAAGCTTTTCTATTTTTGACATACGTACGTGTTTCTTCAAACATCCATTCATTATTTGCCTGACCCATGGAAGCAATCAGTAATCTTTCCTGAGGTAGTTCGTTCATCAAATAATAGAAACCTTTATTTTCTTCTCCTAATAGAGCACTCTTTGGTAAGCGGACGTCTTCAAAAAACAGTTCAGCTGTATCTTGGGCTTTTAAACCAATCTTCTGTAATTTTTTTCCTTTGATGAAGCCTGGCATTGATGCTTCAACCAAAAACAGACTTATACCATGAGCAACTGATTTAGCTTCTGTATTTGTTATTGCTACAACAATACACACATCAGACATGTAACCATTTGTTATAAAAACTTTGCTACCATTTAGAATATAATCATCTCCATCTTTTTTTGCATTTGTACGAATACCTTGAAGATCACTTCCAGCACTTGGTTCTGTCATGCCAATAGCTCCAATCCATTCTCCAGATGTCATTTTAGGAATGAATTTTTCAATTTGCTCTTTTGTACCATAATGTGTGATATATGGCATAACTATGTCTGAATGGAGAGTAAACCCAGGACCAGTACAATTAACATACATTTGTTCCTCCCATGTTATGTTTGTCATTAGGAAATCACCACCAACACCACCTAATTCAGCTGGTGTATTTACACCTAATAAACCATTTTCTCCAGCTTTAAGCCAAACTTCTTTGCTAACATTGCCGTCTTTTTCCCATTGACCATGATTTGGCAACACTTCTTCTTGCATAAACCTCCTCACAGAGTTCCTAAACATATCATGTTCTTCTGAGAAAATACTTCTTGTTCCTATGTCCATCATGTTTAAAGCTTCTCCAACTTCTTTCCTTTGACTTCCATTGTTCGATGTAACAGAAAAATTCCTCGATAGTGAAGACCTTGTCGTTAGAAGAGTTGATCGCTTAGACACTTCTTGTAAAATTCTTCTAGCAGCCCAAAACGCCATTTTACTTGTTTGAAAGTGGCGAAAGCTCAAAGTACACCAACCAAACACTAGATTGTGTAAACAACTTTTATTTCAAAGTAAGGAAACGTCTGGAAGAAAAAGAAAGAAAAAGCAGACGAAATTGGAGTTATGTCCCTTGTTCGTGGGTTAAGGCAAAAGATACTTACCACGAAAGATAACCAGCCAAAAGTCATTCGAAAGGCTATTTATAGGCCTATGTGCCACGCGTGGTTAATATAAGATCATGGCTCTGTTTGAGCATAGTATGTATAGTTTTAAGAAAGTTTAAGAAAATGTTGATAGATAGTACTATAGGCTATTCCGAAGCCTGGTGATTCATGCGCACTAGCAACACTTATAGTTATTATAGAGATTAACTGGTTAGTAACTTCATTAATGCTTTTTAGCATTTGCATGGCGGCAATGGCTGGTCAAC